TTTACAGCTTGATTTTCTAAAAGCATTTACCTGTAGAAGTTCCAGTGACCTCGTCGTATCACTTCAAGTGCTGCTAAAAAGAACAGAGTTACTCTAGAATCCAGGCTTCCAATATTAGGGTGGATGACAGTCTGAAGCCAAGCAAGCCTCAAGACAAGGTTCAAACCCTGTAAAATATGTGTGTCTCTGTAAGTGAACTATCTATTTTTGCTTTGGAAATCTTGATGCAGAGCTTAATGATTTGAAAACGCACCATGGATACGAAATAAATGTATTTTTGTTTAAGTATCAAATCATTGCGAAGCCAGGTATTCTTGGAGTTGAACTGTAGAAGACCCCAGTCCTTGACAAAGTCCCAGTACAGTTGGTAGATAGTTGCAATACTTGATACAATGATAACAAATGACAGCCACCCAGTACTATTGTTATTCTCATATGCCACCTTTGTTCCTGCAGCAAGCATGGCTGACACATACTTCCCAAGGTTGACAATGTGGTTTATATCCCCTTCATCAAACCATCTCCGTGCGCACTGTAGGATAACAGTAAAGAAAGGTACCACTAGCTTAGAAATAGCCTTCAGAAGGGACAAAAAAAGAAGGGACACTATCATGTCGTCATGTTCAATCTTACTACCTCCAGATGGAAAAAGTTGTTTTTGAAATAAATACAGTTTGGAACCATGACTATTGATATGTTTCTAAATTTTCATGTTTAAAACATGAGAATCATATAAGTAGGAGATGTATCTCCAGAAGTACTGTAATAATATTATATATCATTCGGTTCTATTGTTACATTGCAATTAAATTATTTATTTGAATATAAATTTTTGGAGAGCATGTCAATGTCCAAAATAACATTATTCTTTTGTGGTGAGTGGTACTGAGGGGTTATATACCTGCATGGCTCTCCAGTAATAAGGCAGGAAGGATACTGCATAAGCGAGGTCTCTAAAGTGTTTAACTCTTGTGCAGTAGCCATAGTCTTGTGTCATGTAGCTGCCTGTTATGTAGTAACATGCCAAATACTCCAGGCTCCTGAGCACTGGTACCTGTTTGTCAGAAGTCATTACATGCTTAGTCATTTTGATACTAATACAATCATTTATGCTGGAGTATGTAGTAGCCTATCGAGTTGTAACTCAGATAAGTATTTATGGTAGGAGAACCACTTTTATAAGTCCTCTTCAGTTTATATTAAAAATACATACTTCTGAGCATTATGGTTTGTAGGGAATAGCTTAAGTTTGCCTAAGTGAACTTGACCAATCTTTAGTATTTAATTAAATTATTACCTGGCTGCAGAGCTGATCAGCCATGAAGAAATCAACCATGACAACCTGCATATATACAAAAAACTTACTAGCTTGTTCCCTTTTATTTAATTGGAAGTTTAGAACACATCTTAAACAATTGTGCTTTAAGAAACTTGCCTTGTAAAAGGGTGTCAGAATGATGTTTCTGATAACTCTAAGGAATTGGTAACGACTTGATTGGTAGATGATGTTGAAAGGGCAGACTAATATCAACAAGAACACCTGAATAGAGGGAGCACCTTATAAGGTCATAAATTTTGATATGTAATTATGAACAAATTTGTTAAGTTCAATAGTGCATACCAGAAGTAGGGACCCTGGTATTGCTTGGACTGCACTTGATGAATTTCCTTTAACAATTATTGTCAGGTGCGCAAACATTACACCAACAACAATTGTCATGGAAGTAGTGCATATCAAAAACACGTCTCGGTACTTGAGCTCTTTAGTAGGCGTGAATTCAAATATGAATGTGTAGTTTATGCGTGTCTTTCTCCACATGAAAATGTTACATCCATAGAGGAAGAGATGCAGAAAGAAGAGGCTGAACATGCTGCAGTTTGGGATCAAATATTATCAGCAATGGCATGCCTGAATTGCAGTAGTTTTTCTTTTTCAGGAACTGCACAGTGGCAACTGAATTGGCGTTTTGAGTGCTCACCTAAGAACAGGATAAGATGTTGACATGTACACCTTGTTTGACTGTTGAGTGTACATTCCAGCAATGCGTGCCATGACACAGTAACCTATGAATAATGCTATGAAGCCGCCAGTGAATAATCCTGGAAATTTTATAGGTCTGTTTAAAGATCGGAAAATCTATGGTGATGAAGGAATGAAAACCTTATAAAAAATTATTACCAATGAAAAACGTCGTACAATGTGATTCTTCCCTCTGATTTGGCTTCAGATACACCATTGCTTTCCGTTTGTCACCATCTGTGAAATGTCTCAAAAACAGCTCCTCGACATCGTCCATGAGCCTGACTGCCTGTTAAGATGAAAATTGCAGTCAGGAATTTTGGAGCTTAGATAGAAGGAAATTATTGAAAGCATCTCAGAATTGCTTCATTGTTACAAAATACCTTGTCAGAGCTATTGTAGTAGGAGCTCTCCACTACTTTGAGGTAAATTTGCTGCACTTCCTTTGATGTAACCTGAAACACGAAAATATAGCTTCTGTCATCAGAATTGCTTATATGAGATAAATTTCAGGATATGGCACCATCAAAAGAGAGCAAGAGCTATGAGCAGAAACCTTGTCAAATTTCTTCAGGATCTTCACAAAGGCCATCATGTTCAAGATCCTGCAACAAGCATGCTCTCCTTGTCAGTATCCACTTAAGAAAAAGTTGGAAGTACAAGCCATATTGCAAAATCAAGTATGCATACCGGTATGTCTTGAGGTAACCCAATCCTTTGTATAGCTCAACGAGAGCACCTCTGATCATCTTCTCTGCCTGGTGCACCTTCCTCTTGTTGATGCTCAGCTTCTCATTGCCATCGGTACCATGTGTGCCAATCTTCTTTGATTGGCTCAGCATGTCCTCAAACAGCAGTTCGCGAATGGCAGTGACAGTCCTGGAAGGCGTGGTGACTGGGATGTTGATCCTCACATTCCTGCCGTGGCAGGTGACCACCCTCCCTGAGAGTGTCCTCAGCTTGCTCGTAACTTCTTCATTCGGCTTGCCAAGTCTCCCTGACTCACTAAGACCTTGAGAGACGGAGAGCTGGTCCTCAGGTCCTTCGTCAGCGCTCTTGGCAGTAACGTCGTCGTTGAGTTTTCCTTCACACTCTTGTTCTTTCTCTGCAATCTCCCTAAGAGATTGGCCTCCTGTAATTTTTGAGATGCTATGTCAGGATCAGTGTATAGCAGTCAATCCAAGAAAGGCAACAGGACTATCTTATACGAAGGAAAAAGGTAATATTGTTTCATCAGCTGGCTTATAATAATATACAGGAACAGGAACAGCAACAGGACATGGTCTCACCAAGCTGGATGGAGCAAGAAACGGAGGGATCATGATCATCCGTGTCGGCGCTCTCTTTCGAGGGCCCCCCGCGCCGTGCCTGCGCCTGCTGCTGCTGGGTGACGGCAGCCTTGAGGTCGATGAGGATCTGCAGCTGCCGCCTGAGCGACTCGCCGCGCTCCAGGAACTCCCCCTCCTTCCGCTCGTAGAACCGGTTGACCTTGTTGAGCTGTTGGTCCAGCCTCTGGAAGAAGGCCTTGGCCGCCTCGGTGTCCACGAACCCGGCGCCATCCGCCACCGCCGTCTCGTACACCTCCCCGGCCACCGCGCCGTCGATGCTCCCGTCTATGGCCAGCTTCTTGTGCACCTGCATTGCAAGCGCGGCATGCATGCTAATTATGTTATTACAGTATTATATTAGGTAGTAGTGGCCGAACTCGATCGCGGCATGCATGTTATTAGGTGGTAGTTGCCGTAGCGCTAGCTTCCACTTGTTTATGGTGCTGTGCTCTCTAGAGATTTTATTTGCAGATATGGTTCTGCAAAAAGATAGTTTCGAGTAGCTACTAATAGTATGATATACTTATAGCAAAGTACGTATTTGTGTAAGCTTGTTTATTTTCCAAACGTGGCGTTGCAGCATCAAACGGAACTTTATTAGGCAGCCAAGGAAAGTTGGCAGTGCATGCCTGAATGGCGGCAGGCTGCCCATGGGGATGGAAGAACGGCAGCCTCATCATCCAGTGAGCCGCCGGAGCCACCGCTGGCTGAAGCGGCGATGCCGGCACCACGGCACCACCATCTCCTGCCGCGGCCTGCAGCTTCTTGACGTCCTTCTTGAGCTGCCAGTAGTCCACGAAGGCCTCCTTCCATTCGGGAACCAGCTGGCCCTCGAACTGCTTGGAGAACTTCACCATTGCTGGGGCACCTGCTGCTTCTTCCTCCTCGTGCTCCGTAGACCAGAGGGAGAAGCAGTGCAGTGCTCTGGGATTGGGATGGTGCGTCTCAAGGGAGGCCATGCTTTGGGGGTGTGTACTTATATCATGTGCATGATGGGCTGGCCTGGAGTGTGCTGTGCTGCAGAGTTCAGTTCATTGGACAATTGGAACTAGAATCTAGTGTGACAGGGTTAGGTTAGCACATTCTCAAGTATCTGTGAGCAAAATGTAGCTATAGTGGGTGTTGTCGCTCTTAGCTACGTACCTGTTCTGAATTGTGATCACTGGATGGGCATCAAGGCTGACAGGGAATGTAACAAGTCGCTGTGTTGGGTTCTAAGCTAGTGGACAGGGGAGAGAGGGAAAGTGGGAGGGAGGGAGGGTATTTTATAGGATGGGTTGACTGTCAGCAGCACCCCTGATACTACAATAGCTGATGCCGCTGGTGACCAAGAAGGCTAACCCAGCGACGTTGCCCCTCCTTCGCCGAGGCCCAAGAGACAGGCGCGGCCCAACTCCAAGGTGTTCGGGCCCATGTGGTAAGCGTAGCTGAGTATATCTAGCAGAGAGCCGTGAACGAAAGGAAGGGAACCGGGGTGAACCGCATATTCATTCTTGTAATACAAAGCACTTATCGTACTGTACTTCTTCTTCCTTGCCAAGCATTCGATTCCTAGCTGTATCTCACAATTGGTATCAGACTAGGCCGATTTGGAACCCGCGCCGCTGCAGCCACACGAGCACTTCACCAGGCTCCGCCGTGCCCAAGCTGCCATGGATCCCAACCTGAAGCTGGTCCTCGACGAGCTCAATCGCCGGTTCGACGAACAGGATGAGAAGTGGGAGCGCCGCTTCTCCGATCTGGACCGCGACCGCACTGCTCGCGATTCGGCGGTCGACGGCCGCCTCACCACCCTGGAGGCCGCCTGCTCCGACCTGGACACGATTCGGCTCGCCCACACCAACGACGACCGCGACAGCAGAGTCACGGCGCTGGAGGTGGCGGCCACGTACCTCGGGACTTGGCGGCCGGCGGTGGAGGCGCTCGTGGACGACCTCAGGCTCGAGGTGAAGCGCATCTCCAACAACTAGGACAACACGTAGGGCGCCTTGTCGACTCGCCAGCTCGGCCCCTCCCTGTCCCCTTCGTCGGCAACCGCGCGCCAAGCTACCGGACTGCCCACTGATGGAACCAACGGGCACTACTCTGCATCGATTACACGGGGTACTAGATCCGGGGTTGTCATGACCTGGAGCCATATCCTGGCCAACGGTACGACGTCCACTCCTCACCCTCATCCGATTTCATCGTCAGTCGTGGTGTTGGATCGTCCTCCTCCCATTATCGTTCCTCCTCGCCCTCCAATTTGGCCAGTGCAACCCACCTTCCACCCCCATACCCGTCGCCGGCCAATTTCCCTCCACCACAGTCGAATCCACCTATCTTTCATCCGCCGTACTCCACTTCGAATTTTCCCCACACCAGCCCAATTCAACCGAATTTCTCTTCACCCCTTTCTGCTCCTCCCAATTTTTCCCAACCCAACCCAATTCACCCAACTTTTCCTTCACCCCTTCCTGCTCCTCCTAATTTTTCCATTCCTTCCTCTATTCCACCAATTTACCCGCCACCTTCTTCAGCTATTACGTCAATTTATCCACCAATTACTTCAGTTCTACAAGTTTTTCCACCACATCCTATAATTCCTCACAATTTCGCCCCACTCCTCTGCGTTAGGTCACCTTCCCAAGCTTCCCTTCTCTAAATTCGACAGTGACAATCCACGCTTGTGGCGTCGTCGTTGTGAGAAGTATTTCGCTATGTATGGCGTGGAGGAGTCTCTGTGGATCAGCGTGTCTGAACATTATTGGGAAGGCCCTGCAGCACGCTGGTTCCAGTCCATCAAATCCCAAATTCGTACTACCACTTGGTCCACCTTCTGTCAGTTATTGCATGATCGTTTCGATCGTGACCAACATGAGCTGTTGATCCGTAAGCTGTTTTCCATCAAACAGCTTACCACTGTGTCTGACTATGTCACACGCTTTACTGAACTCGTGGATCAGCTATCGGCTTACTCCAATTCTACCAACCCCGTCTATTATACCATGCGTTTTATCGATGGGTTGTTTCTAGAAATTAAGGCAGTTGTGTTGGTTCAGCGTCCACAAAACCTCGATGCTGCTTGTGTTTTGGCATTGTTGAAGGAGGAGGCGGGGGCTGCAGCTCCGACCAAGCAGCCTCGTTCCGGTGATTGGTATGCTTCGTCCAAATTCCAGCATACTCCTAGGACGCCATTGCCACTTCCGCCGCCACCCCGTACTGACAAGGGACCAACCCCAGCTCCTGGTCCTGTGGTAGCAGCTCCTGCAGTTAAGCATTCTTCAAGTGCTGATCCCAAGCTTCAGGCGGTCAAGGCTTATCGGAAGGCTTTGGGTCTATGTTACAAGTGTGGTGCCAAGTGGAGTAAAGACCACACATGTCCTCCTAAAGTGTTGCTTGCAGTGGAAGCTCTTTGGGACTCGTTTGATAACTCTAAAGATGGTTGTTCTGAACATCAGGAGAAGCCGGTCACCGAGCAGTTGTTTGTTGCCATCTCCAAAGCTGCTGCTCTTGGTGCTTGTGCTGCTCGTACTATCTGGTTTTTAGGGACAGTCGCTGGCCATCCAGTGCTAATTCTGATTGATTCCAGTAGCTCATCATCATTTCTCAGTGAATCATTGGCCGCCAAATTATCGTGAGTAGTGCTTACTCCGCAATCAACTCAAGTGCAAATTGCTGCTGGTGGCCTGTTGCTGAGCTCCGAATCCTTTGCAATGTGCCGTGGACACTAGATCAATGCACTTTCCATTCTGATTTTAGAGTGCTTCCTCTGACAGCCTTTGATGCTATTATGGGTATGGACTGGCTTGCTGCATTCAGCCCAATGCACGTCCACGGGCAGCAAAGTGGTTCTCTATTCCCTATCATGGTGATTCTGTGCTGTTGCAAGGTCTCGATGAGGAGTCCCCCAGTCAGCTGCTTCTTCAACTCTGTTAGGTTCCGGATACTAGCGCAGCATCTTCTTCGGCCAGCCAGGAGCTTCCAGCTGAGATACAAGCTCTTGTTGATTCCTTTCCAGACTTGTTCATTCCACCGGTGGACTTGCCACCTTCCAGAGCATGCAACCACTCTATACCGCTGCTGCTAGGTGCTAGTCCTATGTACATCCGCCCTTACCGATACCCCCCGAGCCTCAAAGATGAAATCGAGTGTCAAGTCAATGAAATGCTGTCTCAAGGGATCATACAACCAAGCTCTAGTCCCTTCTCTTCGCCAATGCTCTTGGTCAAGAAGAAGGACGGCTCGTACAGGTTTTGCGTGGACTTTCGTCACCTCAATGCACTCATCGTGAAGTCCAAGTTTCCTGTACCAGTGTTCGAGGAACCGATGGATGAGTTAGCTAATGCCAGTTGGTTCACCAATCTGGATCTTCGTGCGGGGTTCCATCAAATATTGTTCCACAGTATGCGTGCTGCCATTAGTTAGTATGTGCAGTCCTGTGCCGTTTGCGCCCAAGCTAAGCCCGATCGCAGCAGTTATCCCCATCTCTTACAACCTTTACCTGTATCCAAAGCATCATGGGAAGTTATCTCAATGGATTTTATCGAAGGTTTGCCGACATCTAGTTCTGCTAATGTTATATGGTGGTTGTCGATAAGTTCTCTAGGTTTGCCCATTTCATTCCTTTGCGCCATCCGATCTCTGCTGCATCTGTGGCACGAGCATTCCTGGACCACATCTATAAGCTGCACGGCTTGCCTCTGGCGATCATCTCTAACCGGGATCGGTTGTTCACAAGCAAATTTTGGCAGTTGCTCTTCAAACTGGCTGGGACCACCGGCTTACCTGGGAGTCGGTTGAAGAGCTTCGTCGCCAGTTTCCCCGGTCACCGGCGTGGGGGCACGCCGGAACTCAAGGAGGGGGGATTGTCAGCAACACCCCTGATACTACAACAGCTGATGCCACTGGTGACCCAGAAGGCTGCCCCAGCGACATTGCCCCTCCTTCGCCGAGGCCCAAGAGACAGGCGTGGCCCAACTCCAAGGTGTTCGGGCCCATGTGGCAAGCGTAGCTGAGTATATCTAGCAGAGAGCCGTGAACGAAAGGAATGGAACTAGGGTGAACCACATATTCATTCTTGTAATACAAAGCACTTATCGTACTGTACTTCTTCTTCCTTGCCAAGCATTCGATTCCTAGCTGTATCTCACATTGACGCGTAGCGCATTTGGCTCAGGCTGCAACCTCTCATCCTTTCTGGAAAGCAACGCTGATGATGGTTGCCATGTACCAGAATGCAGAGAGATGGGTAAATTGGAAGAATGCAGGTATATATTGGCAACTATCGAGATCACCAGTGGCTTTCAACGACTGATTAAAACCATGGATGTTCTCAAACAATCCCTTCTCGGACATGTTATTGTCTGCCTCATATACAGCACAGATTCATTTCGCTGCTTCAGAATAATTGGGTTGCTATATGCTGCTGCTTCACCTAAATTAAATGCGCCAGTACTATACCCTGCTAGCCTATCACATATATAGGACCACAAATTTAAGTAACGTCTAAGTGATAATTGGAACACAAATATAACATACGTTTTCAAATTAAATATGGTACATGCTTTTTTTTTGGAAAGGTGGTACATGCTTATTTTGGATAAGTATATGTATGGATCCCCACTTAATGAAAAACGTGCTAAACCACGGTTGCAATTGAAAAAAAAGATTGCCTTTTATTATATGGATGCTTAATGATTGTTTATTAAGATTGTTTCCCAAAAGATAAGTTGCTGATACTTTTGGGGTGGCTCAAATGCATCTACTGTATCTGAATCTCAAGGAAAACAAGCATGTTCCCCAAAAATAAAGGATGATAATATTTGAAGATCAAATTGAAGGAGCTACTGAAGATCTTTTTTTTATCAAAATCTTTATTCCTATCAATACGGAAGGATATAAAGAGGCTCATGGAGTTGCTCTCAGTATATTGTCGCTTTTTTATATTTTTGACAAGACAATGGATTTTATATTTGTCATGCCAAAAGTTTTTCATTAGGAAAGCTTTATTGATTTTAGTTAATTACGCTACTAGAAATATCCACTTCTATGACAAACAGATTTCGTCATTGAAAGAGCTAAATTCGTCATAATTTCAGTTTTATGACAAACTTACGACAAAAAATAGTTCGTCATAGAAGTCGCGTCATTCTTGAAATTCTACGACGATTCTAGAAATTCGTCATAGATGTGGATAGATCTATGACGAAAACTGAACGTCATAAAACTGCTTTGGCATGCGTGGCAGGGGGCAACCACGCTGGCGGGTACTTCCGTTGGAGATGCTTTCCACATGTACATGCAATAGCCAGTTACATTAGAGATGGTTCGGGTACGTGTCTCCTTATTGCACAACGTGGCCATCTCTTGTTCTTGCACGTTTTAGGTTCTTACTGGACCACGTGTCGGGATCCTATTGTTCCACATGTTAGTTTTCTATTGACACACGTGTCGTGTTACGGTTGGGTCACGTGTCACTTCTTCATTGGACCATGTCTCATATTTTTATTGGTCCACGTGGCGTGACCACAATACCCTGCATGTCTTTCTTTTACTCGACCACGTGTCTTGATGTTGTACGTCCATGTGTCAGTATTTTATTGGGCCACATGTCGCACCCTGAGCTACCCACGTATCTTTTTCTGATTCAACCACATGGTACGACGGATTTATACCACGTATTTTATTTGTATTGTCCCACATGCCCTGTCGTGGCTCTTACACGTGTCATTCACTGGTTCGTCCATGTGTCAGATTCTTATTTAACAACGTGCCTGTGCCGCATCTATCACGTGCACACCAATTTTTACATCAGAGAATATGATTTTAGATCTACACTACTGCACAAAATAACTACATGTATAATTATATTGAACTTGAATCAAATAACAGCAGTTCAACTCAGCAGCAAACCACTAACAGAGTTCACATATCAAGCCGCCAAAATTTCACATCAAAACAGCAAACAAACTACATGTTCACTGCATCAACAAAACTGAGAGTTACTAGCTCTTAAGAGCATGATATGCTCACGAAGCTTATTGTACTCATCATGTTGCTGTTTCTTGAACTCCTCAAACTCCCTATCAGTGTTTTCTGCCTTCCTCTTCAATTGATCCACATATTCGACGAGGTTAGCTAAACTTTCCTGATGAGCAGCAAGCCATTCCCTAAGTCTAGAGCAGCTTGTCCTGATACCAACATTCTTCAAAGAAAAGATGTTGCAGCTGGCTTGGGAGAGGACCTTGGAAACAACATCAGCAACAGGTTCTGCTCGTATAGTTTTCATAGCTTACTGTGAAAACCAAGGAGTAAACATTAGGAAGAGGACTTAAATTGCAGAACCAAGAGATTATTTCATTACAAGTAATGCATAGGTCTTCCTCAGCCTACTGTCGATATAGATTCATAAGTACAATGCATAGGTAGCATATTAACTGTTGTAAGATTACAACTTCAAAATGATGGTGCCACTTTAGGCTCCTCGTACTTTTCCTTCTTTTATGCCAATGGCTTTAGCAGATTTCAAGGAAAGCAAATGAAGGTACTTACCACTGCTTCTCTTGTAGCATCGCTTAGTCCTGTGTTGCTACTGGTATGGAAGTTGTTGAAGATTCCCATTGCATCAACATCTTCATGAGGCCGATCATGTTCTTCAACGAGCACTTCTTGATCGTGTCCTACGTCCTTTCTATTTTTGTCCTTCTGTTAACATTGCACATGCCTTTCTGTTGATACAAAAGCCATTGCATATTTGATATAAAAAGAGTAACACAACCATCACTTACATATGCTTGTAGGTGGGCAATATAGGAGCGAGATCCTATAACCTAGTGGCACTTGACTTTTGCATGATTTCATTTGTTCTGCTCCGAGACTGCCTATAACCACAATTGTGTTAGACTGCAGCACAAGTAGACCACATAAAGACTAGATAAGAAATAAATGAGTTCACACACACACCCCTTATTCTTGGAACTTAACCACATGTGGACAAGTGCACACCACTGTGCGTCATTCATGCAAGACACGTGAGAGGTTTTTCTGATTTCATCAATGGGGATGCCGTTAAAGTAAGATCACTTGAACTTGGACCATGTCTGCTGTACAACAGACTAGAATACACTCGTGCATGCTTCTATTGTTGCTTCATCATTGTCATCAATGGCCAGTCTCAACTACAGAAGTGTGAATGCAAATTAAATCCATTACTAAGTTGCTCAAGGCAGAGTTGAATGTCAATAGAGGATATACATACTTATAGATAGCTTGGCCACAAATCCATTGAGATGTTCGATCCGTTGCTTGTAATGTTTCTAGTGCAGGAAAATTGGTACTTGAGACCTAACTACTACACCTACCTCTGAGGCAAACTTGGTAGCTTGCAATAGATCATGTGGCCTTATGTTCCCCCTAACAACCGAGATGGGCATCCTTGTTCCCATTAATTGGGCGGTTTTGTGAAGCTCAACCCCCTTAGTTGCTTGCCTCGACTTCCTCGCTCTTCTCTGCAATGGTACTACATAGTTTTCATACATTCAGATTGTTAGAAAAGTAACATGGATATCAAATAGTGTGACTTGATTTATAGACATGTCTAAGGTAGTACCAACCTTCGCAAGTTTGGTCATTCTGTTGG